GAAAACCTTGTCCGACAAAGGAACTCGACAAGGGGCAATGACCATATTTAGTGGCGGGTCACACTCGCCACGTCACAGCTTGTGGAAGGTGGCCATCACTGAATGCGTTGACCATATCGGTGTCGCCATTAATCTTTTTTTCAATTTGACTATTCTCTTAACTGAACAATTCGCCCAGACTTATCAAGAAGTTCTGTAATTGTATGGTTTTTCAATTTCTTTCGTTTTGTGTGGGCAATCCTTTGGTTATTCCTTTATGGTATCCATCGATGATCCATCTCTGCTAGGTTCGGCCTCGTTTACATGAGGGTAGTTTCTTTGCCTATAATTTGTTCAGTTGTTGTGTCTCCATGATAAGTGTTTTCCTGTATCGCGACGCTTATTATATTCATACCTTAATTTTCAAATCTAAGTATTGTTTCCAACATTGCAAAAAGGTGGACAAATAATGAATTATCACCCAGAAATTTATTTGAAAGAAACCAGATCCGAGTTCAATTTCTTCGACCCTCTAATTCACGTCACAGTTTGTCCACCTCGCTGTATCTTCCAGTCCGGCCCAATGCCTGTACATTAGGGCAGATGTTGTTCCGGCATTTGTAAGACTTGCCCCCAACCACCTCAGACGGCGCAGTGAAATGGTTCTGCTTGGTTGAGGACTATCGAACCCTACCACATGTCGTCTGACCACATCGTTACTCCCGCAATGCTCCCAGCATACGCGGACGATGTTACGCAGACAACGGTTGCTGAGGGCGGATAGTTGGTGGAGACATGATCTGGCCAGATAGGTCAAGTTTCGCAGCCGTAGAGCAGCACGTCCGGTACCGTTGTGCAATGCATACGCCCATCCAGTGATGATTAGACAAGATATGAACGCGGATGAAGTTGAATATCGGGTTTGTTTTAATTTGAGAAAGGTTGTATACCTTACTGAAATACCAATACGTCATTCAGTCTATGCACCATCTTTATCTGACTAAGCGCTGAATGGAATGAATCTTATGGTCATGTGTCTGTGTACATGCCACAAACGAAAATGAAATCCGGCTGAATGGTTAAAGATCGACCCGATGCTATTTATTGAAGGTAGGATTTCAGATAAAGAACATAAAATCCCGTTTTTATAACTTGAATAATGTGCACAGTTAGTGTCATATTTTTAAATCCTGGTTTTAAATATATGCATAATAATAAATAGCAACGCGTCGATAAATAATTATCCGACCATATTTCACTCCCATTCGTAGCGTGTACACCGACTTTTTCAGTGACTCATCTTTCAATCGATACTTACCAGGGTTTATGATCATTGCAACCGGCAAGCCTTTGCCATCGTACTTCACCTGAGTTGTTTCCAATCGGCGATTGACGGAAAAATAAGCCTTCCTACTTGTTGGTTAGACATTTGTTTCAATAGGCTTGAAAGAATATGGACAGATCGATGATAGCCTGCATGCAAATCGTTTTTGGTCGACTTTGCAATTTTGTGTAACTCCACAAAGTGCGAAAGAACATCGAACTTGGGGTCACAAAGGCTGCGCACTTGTTGCGTCATTCAAGAATCAGTGGTTCCGAATATTGATCCTATGCATGACGCAAATTACTTGCGACATATTCGGTCTAAACAAAAGAAGCCGTGAATTCAGCATAAAATATTCGTCCTGGTTAGTGATTTCGTAAAACATGTTCTAGATGTTTAGAGACCCACCTGTATACCTTCTTCCCGTAGCTATAACTGACTTAAGTGAATATTTTATCAGTGAAATGACCACTCAGAAGATGTACGAAGTCGATGCCTAGACCCTGGTGATTGAGATCCCTGTACGNGATTTTCCGGTTTTTTTTCTTCATAAACTAGTCTAAACAACAAACCATATAGTACGGTTTTTCTATAGTAATGATTTGAAGGCTTTTTCGATTCTGTATATATGAACTTCATTCTTCAGCTTTTATCAAGCAGTGGAATTGGTTGATTTCGCTACTCAACGAGAATTTACTTCGACAGACGAAGGAAGACCATTTTGCGTTCAGTTGATTCATGAAACGCTGAAAGTAACCTAAGAAATATTCGCAATGAATACCATTTGGCTCCTGATTTTCATGCTGAGTAGATTTCACTGGGTCCAATGCAATACCGTGAGAAGTACGTTTTTTGATTTACCTAATCTGTTTTGCTGTGTCTAGTCAGTGCACAAGAATGTTCGGAACAACCGGAGAAACCGCTGACTTTAGCCGGAGTGGTTGTGTACGGCGGGACAACATTGGGTCGAACTTTGTGCTATTTTGCCCCGGAAAGCTCGCTACAGTATGTCGCAATCAAAATGGACAAACTGGAACTGGCCAAAAGTTTGGGCCAATGTCCCAGACTGATGCTGTTCGAATATTCGTCTGTACGCGAAGAGCTGATTGATAATACCGACCCGAACTTGCGAGTGGCTATGGTCGTTCCGTCCGATCCGAAAATTGTGGTGCGTTTCCCCGCAGTGAAATCCCGTTTTGCACTTGCGCACCAGCGTTATAAAATGGAAAGCCTATGTGTTGCCACTGTGAAAACCATGTCATATTGGAATTGACACAGTTACCAATTCAAGTTTGGTCAGATGTCGTCTTCAGGGATAGTCAGTTGGTTCATTTGAACTCGAAAGCAACAGAAGGAGATACAATTGACCACTTGCTAACTTTTTTAAAAGCCTCCCACCAAATCGGGACTGCTATACAGGCTCGAGTAATCCTTCTATAATATATTTGTGTGATGAATAGCAGATGGGTCAACCCCATCTGTTCACTTGATGGAATCGGACAGCCTAAGTCCTGGGACTTGGATGGGTGGACCACGTAAGGCACCACCAAGTTAGGCGTATTATTGAACCGCACTTAAGTACAGCTGCTTATCACCGAATTTGGGTGGCGGTGGCAACTGTAACCTACAAGATGAGAATGAAATTCATATGTAATCCACAGTTACTTTTAAATGCTAGTATGGAATATATAATATTGCTTTGAACTAAACATCTTTTCTTTAAAGATGGTCGCTGTTATCTACTTTAATTGCTGTCGAACTGAATGAACTGACTACATCTAAACATGCTTCAGTCGGTTGTTCTTTCAACCCTGGTATGAGTTAGTTCACACAGGTAATACAGGCCTTTCGGGATTGGGGTTCGGAGTTCAAATTCTGAACGTGTTATTAACTACGGATCAGTGGAAAGCACTACCAGGAGCAAAACTCGAGTGTAGTGTTTCCTGAGATCATAAATGAACAGAGGATTTTGCACGAGGATAGCCAATTCTAATCCATATCATATATCCCACAATTATCCGCTAGTAACTGTGTTTATTGCGAATAATCTTTTAATTCGGTTCATGTGTAATACAGAAATTATATAATAAATTTGCGGCCGAACGCCGCGGTCAATAGTAAAGCCTTCAGGCGGAAAGCAGAGAAGTGAATGCAACAGTGGTGAACGATGGAGCAACTGATTGATGACCTAAACCGCGGGAGTACTTCTGCCAACCCCACGCCCTTCATAGTGATAAGCCAAAGAGGTTATACATGAAAATTGAGGTTATTGAGACAAACTAGACATCTTCATATCACAAATATCGGGCGATTTCTCTGCAAAATTCCTCAAACTTGCTAATCACACGCTAAAATATTTTTATGATCGAACCCGGAGAACGATGACAATTTCTTCTTTTCCCCCACCCCACTACCGCATTTTACAGTTTCATGCCAATTGTTCCAACTACGAGAAACTGCGACAATTCACGCTGCAGACATCGTCACCCGGATTGAAATTACAAATGCTGTATGATCCGTTCAATGCGCCCGTTTCCGAACTCTACTACGAGTTCACCCTAACCAGTTTTGGTGAGTCTGGGTTCCATTCCATTTGATTGGTCCGGATCGATTCACATGAACTCAGAGTAATCTTCGTATGTACTGTGTTCGCGTTCGAATTATCTGCTAAGATAAATAGTTTGATTCCGTCCCAGCTCTGTTCGTTCCAAAACGGAAACATCATTCAAGATTTGTACTCGAGTATGTGAGGTCACCTCATATTCGATCATGGTCAAGCAGTCGGTCGGTGATACCGGTTTCTGGGTTCGATCATAGATGAATATCGTTTGATATTGCACACTTATGTTCGGTACCGATTTATTTGGCCTGATATAATACCGATGAAAAGCAATTGGGTACCTAAATGTGGACGCATTTGGCGTATTGCTGGTGTGCAAAGATCGATCTGTTTATCTATGTAACTTACTCCGAGGTGTTGAGTTACTCAAGTAGTTCACGGTTTACGCGTGCATTTCTGCTTGAATTTTAGCTTTCCTTGTCAGTACTCAGTCAAAACTGGTGTCTGATATTTTTCTGGTTCTCGGCTCGAACAAGGTAGTTTTTATCCTAAATGGAATATCATTTCGCACGATCCTGAATCTTGAACCCATTACAGACTGACAGACAGAATAGCAGTGATAACATACGAGTGAAATCCGACCGGCTGTTATCCCTGAGAACTCGCCGGAGCTGTTTGATCCGGTTTATCTAGCCGATGATAGTGAAGCCGTCTGTGGAGCAGATGGCAGGACAGTGCACAGTATTTGTCATCAACTGGTATGTCGGGCTGGGTACTTCAAAATGCCATTTCAACTGGCATCTTTCGCCATTGTCACAGTTGTGTTATACTCAGTGGTCTGAGTCATCTGACTTGCTGTTCAGTGATTGAAGTCGACTGTGGAAATCCCGAGAAGTGGAGCGGCAAATCACGTGATACCCCAAATGGTATTGTTACTGAGGCGTAGCTGGGATATCCACAACCCCTATAACGGCCAAACAGTCATTTGGACTTGAGCTTAATCGACCGCTTTTCTCCCACAATCATGTTTCTTAGCAATGAATGTTACAAATTAGTTTTCCCCACCTTGTTGACTATCGATCTACACACCCGACCCCTAGGTTGAATAAATAATGCGAAGACAAAATCTTGTGCTTGTAGATCCAATACGATTTAACCGAAGTAACTCACATTTTGCGGAAACAGCAAACACGGTCAAACCCCTGAAAATATCACATCCCAACAAAATCCCCACTTTTGGGGCACAGTTTTATTATTAGTTGCACTCTCTAAAAAGCGCCGATCTAAAGACCAAAAATCCGGTCAGTAGCCTCCTTCATATGGCCAACTCGTTCTACCAGATGGAACTTTATAATCAACCAATATCGATTAGAAAAGAATTTGTGAAGCACATTGGAAGAGGCTTGTCAGCCGTGAAGATCACGGATCAGTGCAAATCTTAATTTAAACCCTGGTTAATGAGCCAATCTGTCCGCGCATATGAGTGCGCCAGAAACAGTAGCAGCGGGATATTCATCGATGATCGACGGTGGACTCGGAAAAAGTGCATGCACTTGCTATCGTACTGTATCGACCATTCAAACTGACGTTATAATCAAGTGATGAATAGCGTGTTCTCATTCCTGTCATGCATGTAGTTATCCAATTCAGTGCGTTGTGCAACTTGAGTTTATGAAGTTGTTTCACTACGTCTCATATTATACGATACAGAAAGAAGTGAACTCGATTGTTATGGGGACTGTTGTAACTTAACTATGGTGAGTAGGCGAGAGTCAGCTCGAGCACAGCTTACGGGTTATGAGCCTGTAAAGCGGGAATACCTACTGTGAATGCGACAATTAACGAAACGAAGCTCGGCTTAAATAAGTCAGCGCTATATCAGGTAATGCTCAAGTGTGGCAAGCTGTTGAGAATCAATCGAGATAGCCAAAATGGTAGTCGCATCGGATTGCCAAACCCTCTTATCCGGGCCCGAGTCCAAATGAATGCGCATCGTTAACGATCAATGAAAAAATCAAATGGCTCCGCAGTATTTTTGAAGCTTTCACATAAAAGTACGACTTCACTCCTCATTTCTGTTGTTCTTGATTTTATGTGCGTCGGTGACTGGGAAGAGGATAGAAGCGGTTAAACGGTAAAGAAACAAACATGCGATAAAGAGAACAAAGCAAATTTGTTCGTTACTTGAACAAAAGGTCAGATTAATATTCAGTGATAAGAGTACGTGACAGTTGGAGAGACCTACAGACAGATACACAGGAACACATCATTTCTTCATCCTTGGACAAATATCTGTGTTCGCGGTCAAGAATGTATAACTCTTCCACGACCCACAACACCTAATACAGAATCAACTTAATGATTCTTCGAGGCTTGTTTATCTCAAAATCAACTCCCCGAGCTGCAAATAATATTTGCGTTGCTTAATACCTATATACCTATATTTGCAACACCAAACAAATTTATCCGGTGTTGCAAATGAGGTTATTGTGACAACAATACATTTCCTGGGTACA